GTTCTTCTATGGATGGCTTGGCTGGCGGAGTTTCTCTTTTTTCTAAGTGCAGGGGCTCAAATTCAAGTGATCTTTCCCAAAAGCCTTTGCCCTCAAGAGCCAGCACCCATTCTGCCAATTCTTTCCCATTCACCTCATCTAAATTCATAAGACATGCAGCAAGAGGATCCTCAATAGTCAATGTCTCATCATCCTCTTCCACGATTACATCCACGACATCAATAAGAGAACAATTAGCGAATTCACTTGGTCGCCTCATAGATTTCTGCACGTTGAATGTTATCTCCTCATTTTGAGCTCCCCAGTTTCACAATCAATGAGGGCTCGCCCTATGGCCAAGAACAGCCTCCCCAAAATTATGGGAATTTCTTCATCCACTCTACAATCCAGAATCACAAAATCTGCAGGGAACACAAATTTCCCTACCTGTATCAACACTTCATCCAAAATACCTGAGGGTCTTTTCACAGTTCTGTCAGCTAGCTGCAATAACATAGACGTGGGTCTAGCTCTTCCAGTCCCCAACCTCTCATAGATCGCCAGGGGCATAAGATTTATGCTAGCCCCCAAATCACAGAGTGCCTTGGCAAAGGCAAAGTTACCAATGGTGCGGGGAATTGTGAAACTCCCTGGATCAGACAACTTTTCAACAACTGGTCTAGTCACCACAGCACTGCAGGTCTGAGTTAGGGTCACTGTGGCCAAGTATTGGAAGTCGAATTTTCGGGACATCAAATCCTTCATCATTTTTGCATAACCAGGCATCTTCTTCAAAGCATCAATCAATGGAATATTTACCTGAATTTGTTTCAACATCTCCAAGAATTTCTTGTATTGTTCATCTTTCTGGTATTTGGCCAGCCTCTGTGGGAATGGTGCTGGAGGTCTCTTCTTCCCAATGATTTGGATTTTCTCTTTGTCAACTGCTTTGGGCCTTGATCTTTTGGATTTATCTGAGTGTCTGCAGGCAATGTCCCATGAGGATGATTATTCAAAGACATCGAGATCTGGCCCATTTGCACTTCAATATTCTTTATGGCTGACTCATGTGCATCTACTCTTTCACTCATTTTTGCATTTAACCCAATAACCTGCTGCATCATTGCCTCGAGTCTGGTAAACCCATCTTCCTGTCTCCCACCATGTTGCTGCTGAGGAGGATGATAAACCTGCTGCTGATTTTGGTTGTTGTACCCTGTGGCCTTTGGTAGGGCGCCACATTATCGTGAGGTCGCATGGCTCCCATATTTCCATTGTTGTGTTGCAGCTGGACTGGCCTGTATGGCTGATTCTGTTGGCCCCAATTCTGACCACCCTATCTCTGGCCCCCATAATTAGACACATAATTCATGTTCTCAGGCTAGTGATAATGATCACTTTCCTCATTCCACTGGCTACCAATTGGCTAACTAATGCAAGATGTGCATAAGCCCCCATTGGTTGTATCTACAATGTGCACCTGCTGCTTCTGCCCTGACTCTTCCACCTTTTTGGTGAGTATGCTCATTTGTGTCATTAAGGTGGCCATATTTTCAGCAAGAGTGTTGGCTGGATCTAAGGCCACTGAGTGAACTACTGGAGTGATAGGAGCATTCCTGGTTGTCCACCCCGAATCATGTGCCATCTTGTCAAGCAGGATCTGGCTTTCTCTCCATGATTTGCTCGAGAATGTTCCACCAGCTGAAGCATCAACATTTGCCTTCACGCCATCTGTTAGACCCATGTAAAACTTCTGCCCCAACATCTACTCTGGAATACCGTGGTACGGACATATAACCAACATCCCTTTGAATCGTTCCCATATTTCTTGCAATGTTTCCATTGGTTTCTGTCTGAAGCTCAAAATTTCATCAATTTGCTGAGTAGTCTTGTTGGGTGGATGAAACTTATTCACAAATTGTTTGACTAACTCCTCCCAAGTCGTGATGGAATTAATAGGGAGTAAATTTAGCCAAGTCTGGGCAGCTCCTGTCACTGAGAATGGAAACAAAAACAGCTTTATTGCTTCCTGAGTTACGTTGGGCTGCCTTTGAGTTTTGCAGATTGACATGAAATTCTTCAAGTGCTGTTGAGGATCTTCAATGTATGACCCCGAAATTAATCCCTTGTTTTGCAATAAGTGCAGCATGTTGTTTGTGATTTGAAAAGAGTCAGCCTGTATCTGCGGGACTACTATTGCTGTGGCCAAATTCTTTGTTGTAGGTTGCGCCCACTCATATAGAGGAGCCTCTGGCACAAGAGGTGCCACTACCTGCGCAGTTGGGTCTACCACGTTATCCCCGTTTTTGTTTTTGTTGTTTACTAGCTCTGCCATGTCTGGTTCAGGTTGTTCAGTTGATTGTTGTTGTTTGTTTTTCCGGTTGGCCCGATTCAAGGCCTTGAAAACTTTCTCGGGATCTGATAATGCATCAAACACTTCACCAGTTCTCGATGAGTTTCTAGGCATGCACCTGTACAACCAAGTTAGCAAACGTTAAAATTTCAATGTATGGATCGAAAGTGAAGAAAACTGACTACACTATGAATTTTTGTATTTCTTTCAACTGTAATTGATAACACCGTTAATTCTACGGCAACGGCGCCAAAATTTGATCACACCCAACTATGCCTTATAAAAAGGACAAAGCGGTCGTTGCAAATATAATCCGGGTATTTAGCCCAGAGTCGAATCCCACAAGGAATTAACCTACTAATTACTTTTGTCAAACTTACTGAATTCTCCGTAATCAACTTCCCAGATATTATGAATAACACTTGGTGATATTTCTACTGACTATAACTGAATAAAATTAAGTAAACTAAAAGCTAACTATGACGGAGTTGTAAACAAATAAGAGAAGGATCTAAGGTTGTGATTTCCCTTATTGATGGAATCCCTTCCTGTTATGTTTCGTATAGATTTGCCTAATTATCTCTATCGATCATGAGCACTCTTACTACCGTAAATCTCTCCCGAGTAATTACGATAATTTACTAGACGCACTCTCCCGAGTTACACTAGCTGGCTTTTATTACAGCTCACTTAGATCGCACCCAAGGTTTCGTTATCCCTAATCCCACCTTTAAACCCTCGTTTATTGATTCCTCATATACTTTGGGAGTGGTATTATTCAAAAACTACCTAAATATGCACTCTCTCCGAGTAATACATATTAAATAGGCACAGCTAATTGAGGATCCTATCAATTAACTACAACAAGAACGTAGTTGAACAAATAGAGATTAAACCGGGCAAACTATATTAACACAATAAGAAGTTCATCCCTCAACAGGTTCCATCAAAACCTTAAACTAAATAATTAACTACTCATAATTGTGTTCATAATAACAACAACAAAATTCATCATGAATGATAAAAACAAAAGGAAGAAAGGTAGAACTCGATGCCGAATTATCCTCCTTGCCTCTTGCCTCTTCTTGCCTTGAACAAAACTCTAAAAACTTTCATATCCTCTTTTTGGGCGAGCTGGACCTCTTATAGGTTAAGTGGAATTGCCCCCAAACTTCCAAGTTTACCCCTAAAATTTCCGCGTTTCGGAGTGACTAGCGCGGTCGCGCTCGTGACCGCGCTTGGGCCGCGCATATCGACTTCAACACTGCCCCGTTTCTTCTGCTCTAGCGTGGCCATGCTAAGGCCGCGCTAAGGTCGCGCTTGGCCCACGCTAGAGTGGATCAGCTATTTATCTCTTCTTTTCTTCCTTCTTTCACACGTACTCAACTCCGAGGGGCTTTCCTTGCTTTAATTTAGCTCCAAACAGTGTCCTAAGTCCTCATAAACACAACTTGCTCCTGCAAAATATAAAATTCACAATTAGAGCCATTTTATCGTCATTTAACCTTCCTAGAACAGTGAAGCATAGTCAAGTTGGGGCATAAATAGTCGCCAAACTACATGAATCTAGCCTATTATCATGCCCTTTCGCTGATTCGAGATGCTGCTTTTGGAAGCGAATCAACACTTTTGAAGTATAATGTTCCCAATCTATTAGTTGTTTGTTCCGAAAAAGCCATCGATACCACTCCAATGCTTCACCGTCAAGGTAAAATGAGCCTAGGGGTAATTTGTGATTTTCCGTAATGCCGTAAAATTTAAAGTAGCGTTCAGCTTGAAAAATCCACGCATCAGGATTCTCTCCACGGAACCTCCCCAATTCCACTGGGGCAAGTTTGTGACAGAGTGTTGGTGGCCCCGGACCCGAATCTCCAATTGCATTAGTGTCATGGTGATGCCACCTCACGTCCATCATCGGGGTTTTTGTTTGGGGTTCCAATGTAGCTAATTTTCCAACCCCTTTAGGTAATATTGTTCGGATTTCAGAAATATCCTTCGAACATGAATCCTTTACACCATTAATGGAATCCTCGAGAGTTCTGAATTTTTGGTCGTCCATTGAAGACCTCCGGATGAAAGCACCAATGAAGCAAACACGATTTTACAAACAATAGAACAGTGGGTTTACTGCATTAACTTTTGAACTAAACTTAAAGATACTAAATAACTGAAATGAAATTACCAAATGGGGATGAGAACAGAGAAAGTGCAATCACAACTGCCTACCCCCACTCAGATCTATTCCTAGATATTTATAATTAATTCACACGATAAAATCAGTTAACTTCTTTGAAGGTTGGTTGCCTCAACACAGGCTGAATGTCCATGAGGTTTCCTTCTAAAGCGTCAGTGTCCATGTCAGCAGTGTTATTTATAACTGTTTCAATCAAATCTATGTCCAAACGATCAAAATAAAGCAAAATCCATATAGTTGGTTCGTATTACTCAGCTCAATAGTTTGAGATTAATATGTAGTAGTAGTAATTGCTATTATTGTTACGAAATTCTCATTCCATATCACAAAAGAGGATGAGTGCAATAATATACTCATCTAAAAGAATTATAGATGACGTTTTACAATTTGAATTGAAAAAATAATTCGGCAAAAGTAGTTTATATTTTATTTATAAATCTCTTATAAAAATGGGTGTATAACTAACAATAAATTGTCAAAAGTTAAAACCCTTTTAGGGGTTTGTATAGACCAACAAGCGGCCGCTGAACATCCGAAAAACATTCAGCTCGTTACCTCTCTGCCTCTCATCTGTAAACTCAAAGACAGAAAGAAGAAGAAAAGATGAGCAGATCGGGTCAGCCTCCGGATCTTAAAAAGTATGTATACAATCTTTACATCTTCTTATGAATTTCCTAATAATTTTGCTCTGTAGTATCTATTTTTCCTCTTTTTAGATGTTAATTTTCATTCTGTAGCTTAATTTCTTTCTTCTTTAGAAACTGACTTTTGTGTTTTTTTATTTTATTTTCTTTGGTTAGGTATATGGACAAGCAGCTCCAAAGTAAGTTCAAACCCTTTTGTTTTTGACATCTGAAATTCAACCCCCTTTTATTTGTTTATCATTATTCTGAGTTTTGATTTGGATTTTATTTATGTTACATTTAGTGGGTATTTCTTCAAAATTCATTCTCTTAAACTTACTTAAGTTGTTGAACTTTTTGTGACTGTTTACTTATTTTTTGCTGCAACTTGTTTAGAGTTGAAGAGAACCTATCCGCAAAAAGAGAAATTTTTGCTAGGTTTTTAGGGATATTGAGTAGGGTTTATAGTTTTGGGCATAGAGGACCAATTTTATGGCTTATGTATACTCTTGCTATTCTTTTTCTTTTATATTTTTGCTTATTTAGGTTTTTGTTTATAATAACATTTGAGACACCTCTGAATTTGGATTTAATTTCTCTTATTGTACTTGGTATTGCTTCAAAATACCATTTTTCTGGATTTGGTTAAGTTGTTGAACTTTGTGTCTCTACCTGCTCATGGAAGGGGTAAGGTCTGCGTACACACTACCCTCCCCAGGTTCCACTTGTGGGATCACACTGGGTTTTTTGTTGTTGTTGTTGTTGTTGTTGTTGTTTTTATTGCCGCTTATATAGGTTTCAGAGGATATTGTTTAAGTAGTACTAGTAGTTAAGGTTCTCAAGGCTTTGTTCCAGTGGTAAGAGCACAACTTGTGATGTGTGGGTTAGGCGCACGTTACGTGTTCGGGCGTTGCCGTCAAAAGCTTGGTATTTAAGTAGAGAAGGATAGATGAGTGAGTCTATTATCCACTGATTTTTGAACCGAATGCCACTGACTCGGGGGGTTTCTTGGTTAGCAGAAAAATGTAGTTAAGGTGCACCTAATATAGGGTTTAAGGGATATAGTTTAGTATTTAAGGTTCAGGGCACTTAAGGCCGCTTATCGTTTATGTATTCTTTCACTCTTATTTTTTAAAATTTAAGTTCTTAGGATTATGGTGTAAGTAGGTTAATTTATTTCTTAGGCCACGTGTTTGAGTTCAGTCCCTAGCACTTCATCACCCTGGTCCATCAGTCTTAAAAAGATAAATTGTTGAGTATTAGGATGAAACATGTCCAAACAAAACGTAATGGATATTGAGGATTCATATAGGCAACTCCAACTAATTTGGTTTGTTATTTTTGTTTTGGTTCCATAATCATCGAGACTGTAAAACCTTTCTCGCCCCTTTTAATATGATGCTTCTTGGGTTGTACAACAAGTACTGATTCTGCATTTCAAAACATTGCAATTTTTTATCTATGCCTGAGGGTTGTACAACAAGTACTGATTCTGCATTTCAAAACATTGCAATTTTTTATCTATGTCTGAATTTGAGGAAAAAACTATTAACTGAAATTCAATGGCGTATCATCTACATCTAAAAGAAGAGTGACTTTTATTTAGGTGGACATGTTAAAAAGTAAGGCAAAGTGAAAAACAAGATGGTATACTCTTTGCATCTATTGCATTTTCAATGCAGTTTACAACCCACCATTATTTTGGTTCCTCATGTGTGAGCCTTAAACTAACAGATAAAGAGATTCATTATATTAACCAAAGGCAATTTCATTTAATTGGTGTAAGAAGTTGCAGCACGTGTACTGTTTAAGGATCAATGTTCATTGTCTGAATCGCATAACCTGTTTTATTAGTCAATTTCCTTATGAGGTTGCTGTTCTGAATGAAGTAACGTTGTATACCTTTTGCAGTCAAGTTGAATGCCAACCGCCTAGTTGTGGGGACTCTTCGTGGGTTTGATCAGTTCATGAATTTGGTCATTGACAACACTGTTGAGGTTAATGGCAATGAGAAGAATGAGATCGGCATGGTGGTGAGTCCCTGCTGCTATGTTCCCTTTCTGTCCCATGTTCATAAATTTGGCCTTTTTTCCACCTGTTCCAAGACTTTTGATGCGGTGATGAAACTGTGATACACGATAAATTCTATTTCAATCTAGTCGATTTTCTTATACTTTGATGAAAATTTTGTTTTTTCATCTTCTTAAGCTTAGTTATCTCAAAAGCTCGTTTGTTCTAGAAATCCGTCAACTATTGTGGTCATTGTTTTTCACCTTGGTACATGATTGATGTTGCAGGTAATCCGAGGTAATAGCGTGGTGACAATTGAAGCACTGGAGCCTGTTGCCAGAGCACAGTAATATGAATGATGTAATCAGTGGAGGGATGTTTATCTATAGTCAAGCTGTTATTGCTCTTCTGAAACCTAAAATACTTATGTATTATACTGGGATTAACTAGTTTTTGACTAGATAAAAGTTGACTGCCAATTTCTCTTCCAACTTTTTGTTATCGCTGATTTCTCTATTGATTAATCGAAAAATGAAAAATCATTTATTTCTGTGTTCATCTACAACACAAGTTCAGAATTTCATCTAAATCATTTAACTTCCAAACAAAGCCACCTTCTCCCAACCGGTACTAAAATTTACAGTTGGTTTGTCTAGAAGCAAATGCTACATGTGCACATAAACAATCATTCAAATAAGCCTAAAATTATAGTTGAAAACTAGCGTCAATAATGGTATTTGAGTATTTCTACCAGGAAAATAATCAGAAAGCAAAATTTAATGGGCCAAATTCAGAGGAATGGAAGGGCTGATTAGACCCAATAGAATTAGGGAGAAATTTAAAAATAGCCAGATTTACAAGTGGTCGTTCAAAAATAGCCTAGTATCAAAAGTAATCGAAATTTAGCCACTTTTCATGTAAAGATAAATCTGAGCGAAAACACTGTTCAAAACCCAGAAAATACGCCAGTATATTATGCTGGAGTTCCAGCATACTTATCCTGGAACTCCAGTATAATATGCTGGAAGTTCATACACAAGTGCTCGAATCTCCAGTATATTATGCTGGAACTTTCCATGTGTTGGAGTTCCAGCATAATATGCTGGAAGTTCATACACAGGTGCACCGAACTCCAGTATATTATGCTGGACCGGTCTCTGTTGCAGCAAAATACTGGCTATTTTTCATTGACTTGGTAAACGCCGGCTATTTTTGAATGACCAGTCCGAAAACTGGCTAGACCATGCTATTTTTACATAGAATTAAGGAAAATTTACCGGAACCAACAGGTATATACGTTTTATGCCTTCAGGGTATACAATTCACATGTTGTATACAATAACATGATTCAGCTATTTTTATTGTTGTATACTTTAGAGGTATACAATTATGCAACGTACAAAACTATGTTGTGCCATTTTTTAAGGGGAGAATTATGTAAATGGATAGAGGTGTGTAATTTTCTTGCTCAGCCTGGCTAATCATGTAAAGTCCTATAATAATCACAGAGCAAAACTTGATGGGCCAAATTTAGAGGCCCAAACCCAACAATAAATCCATCTTAGCCATAACCCGAAAACCCGGTCAAAGAACTGGACCCACTACACTGTTCTCTATAAGAGCTTGCCAAAAGGCCTATGACCCTTAGGGTTGGTTCAATAGACTTTTTCTACAAACTAGTGATCTATCTAGGAGAAAAAAGATGGCAATGAAATCTGTCGTTTCACGCTGTGGACTCCGTCGTTTAATGGAAAGCAGCAGTGTAGCTCAGCGATCATCCATTTCAGGCCTTCGCTACTTCAGTGACGGCAAAGGTCGTGTCCTCGGCGAAGAAGAACGTGCTCAAGAGACCATTTACATTCAGGTACTCATGTTTTCCCTTTTTTCTTTTTCCTTTTTCGTAGTAATGTGTTTTTTGTTGTCATTTCCTATTTGAATGGATTGTGCTCGAAAAATAGAGTGAAATGGATATAGATGATTTATATAGTTGACCCAAAAAATAGGCGGATCTAATCATTCATAGACAGAAGTGAATACTTTCAGCCTGAACCTGATATTTATGTGTATGCGCGCGCATATGTATATGTATAATCATGAGAGTGTAAAACAATTACTATAAGATTATAGACATGCATACATACATATATGTATATTATGTGTGTGTAAAATAATTACTCATTACTATAAATAATAGATTGTGCTATTAAAAGTCACCCCTTCTGAAGCTATGAAAACGATGCAAAGCAACAGGTTATCACCATCCTCTTCAGGGAAATGTGTACTTCAAATAATGACAGCAAATTATCCTAACAAAAAGCAGTCGGCTCTTTGAATCTCAACTTTGAGAAGTTTGATTAATATCAACATTATTGTATTGGATGTTAAGATTAGTTGTTTTAATCGTAAATTGATTCTTATAGTACTAAATTCATACATGTTTAGTATTTTTACTTTTCTATAGTTATGAGCTTTAGTTCAAAGAAGCAAGTGCTTCACTTCTTGAGTTTTGCTTCAAACACCAAGGACATGGTCGTTATTTTGAGCTTTTCACTTTTAAAACATTGGCATTGACTCCGAATAGTTGGGGTTGGAGCGAATTTGATTGATGTGTTCTCCTTTTGAAATATGATGTAAGTTCGTGCTAGGTTGGATATTCATGTTTTTTTTGGTGTGAATAGAAAATGGAAAGGGAGAGGCTGGAGAAGGCTAAGCAGAAGGCTGAGCGAGAGAAAGCTGAGAAAGAGAAGGCTGATAAGGTTTGGATCCTTCTCTTATTCTTTTCTCTTGTTTTATATTATAGTCATACATATACTCGCTATTCCGTTATACTTTGTTGCTTCTTATATGTCTTGATTTTTGCTACTATCTTAGATTTTAGACACAGCTGATAAAGAAAAAAAAATTGTAAATAAAAAACTGCATATTTTAGTTCTCATAGGGTGAGAATTTCCTTAGGATGCTGGAAATTCATTTCCCTCATTTTGTAACTAAGCAGAAAGAAGATTACCTGCTCCATTTGGTATATATCAGTTTGGGTATCTGTGTTTGGCTGTGTTTAAATATTGAATGTTTTCCCTTTATCAAAATATTATACATTAAATTGGGGAAATAGTTATTCTGATTTCTGGTAAGCCATCCAATTTTTACTCCATTGGACTTCCTCCCACCAGCTTGTAAACAATATGTCACCCTTTTTATCAAAGCTACCACTACTCTGCAACCATATACCCGAGTCCACCTTCCACTACAATTATAAGTAAAGCTTTATGTTCACTCAAAACAAGAGCCTCTAGAAAATGAGTTTTTTTGTTCCCAGTAAAACATTGCACAATTTGAGGAAGAAAATTGCAAGTAACAGTGAAAAAGAGAGCCATTTTAGGTTTTTACATTACTCTGCTAATCTTTCTTAAACTCTCACTGGAAAAGTTTTGAACTAGGTGGCGCATGGATGAGAATTGGGATATGGGTGAGTCTGATATGGATGGGAATTGCGTATAATTGTTCTAGCCAACTTTCTCAAATTCTAGACCATATTAATAAATCTAAGGTTTGACATATGGGCATCAGTTGTGTAATATTATGTCATATACACTGCTCACTTCTACTTGAAACCCACAATTGCATGTATTTTAGACATGATATTGAAAGAAATAATGGGTGCGGTAAGCAAATACCTGTCTTTTCTGGTTGAGCATTTGCCAAGACAAGATTTGAACCTTTAATGAAGTTCTAACATCCAATTTTTTTAATATATATTTTGCATGCCTGCAAATCTCAAACGTATTGTTATCTGTTTGCTTACAAGTCCCCCATCCTTAACCCATTCTACACAACAAAAAGAAATCAAATTGAATTGTTGGATATTAGCTCCGGCAATGTGGTATTTTAGGAAAGAATATAGTGAAGGAGAGTAGGGAATTATCAGAAGGTTCGGGGGCTTAAAGCTGCTCAGTTTCATAATCCTTTTCATTTGTTCATATGTAAGCCATTTCATAAACGAAGCTATTTTTAATGTTCTCACCATTCACATTGCCATCCTAGATTGCACATTTATTTCTTCAATCTCATTTTTAGTTGGAGAAAACAAAAATAATTGAATTTTGAGAAATACATGTGCGGAATTGATGGTTTGTCCAGCTACAAATATATGCATGGGTCTTCTATTAAATTGTTAGTCTATGTGTGTATGTGATTGTACTGGAGCCTTTTCCTAACCCCCTTAGTTTTTTTTTTCTTTAAGCAGAAGGCTGAAGAAGAGGGTCACAAGAGCTGAAGTCTAGGTTCGCCTGAACTGTCTTGTCAAACTCTTGCTTTCAACTGTTCAAGTACCTTTGACAAATAAACGGATAACGACTCTGTGTTGCTCTTGATAATGCTCGTGCTTGTACAAAGTATTTCGATAGTTTGTTGTTATCCTCCATTCCCTTCATCCTTGAAGTTCTCTATGTGGCTGTAAAACACACGTTGTTCAAGAATCAATATCATCTTGATTTGGACCAGTTTGATTATGTTGCACCGCATTTTTTGTCTGTTCATGGTGAATCATAAGTGTAAATATGTTGCTCATGAAATCATGTCATTCACTCGACCCCATGGGGATGATAGCGAGGCATGTGGACCAAAAATGTGCTCAGTGATGTCCTTATTGGGGCTGCCTAGGTTGAACCTGGATTAGTTGGGACAGTGAGTTCGGATATAGAATGGTTAATCGAAACAAAGAATGTTCAGAACAATGTGGATCCTATTGATCCAGTGGACCTAGGTCCATCTTTTTGGGTCTTCTGAATTGTTTGTTCTGTCCAGGTCAAGCGTATATTCCCAGACAAACTATAGGATGCAAGAAGAAAAGGTAAACTATGATGTGGTTATTGCTCTTAATGTTTGTCTATAAATAACACTCCCTTTGTCAAACAAAAGAAAGATACTCATACGTAATCTCAAAGGCGAAATATAATTACGCTAACCCTTGAAAATAATCAAGTGATATTTATCCGAGTCCAACAGCATTTAGGTGCTTCAAGTAAAATTCAGAATAATGATCATTAAGAAACAAAAAACTTGCAATTCAGTGCATGTTACCGTATCATTCGTAAGTTTTGATTCTTAAAAGTTATGATTCCAAGATAGAGAAGCTAGTATTGCAGAAACCTATCTAGGCTTGCTAAAATGTATTTAAAAGATTTGATCATATAATGTAAAAAGCATACAATCTTACTGGTGCTATTACCGTGAGAAAACCAATATAGGGCAACATTTAAAAAGAAAAAAAAAAGGTATAAAGATGCAATTTAGAGACATGACGACTAATCCAAAATAAAATAACTACCATAGGTTCCCAATTAGCATAGTTACCAGAAATAAAAAAAGGAAAAGAAAGCCAGTTAAAGAAACTGAAAAGGAAGAGGAAGAAAAACAAAGAGAGTGAATCAACGTAAAAGGAAAATGAACCATGCGATATCTATACCAAAAATATGTAGTCGCATTTTCCTTGTACGTGTTTG